AAATCTGTACTTTATAAATTAGAATATCTCCATGTTTTTTGCATCCCCAGTACTTACTTCTGAGGAGAAGGGAGGGGAGGCGGGGGAGGGGAGAGGAAGGGACTGACACTTACTGAACATCTACAACACGCTGGTCCCAGGGCTGTACTGTGGTGTCCTCTTACGCACAGGGGCACGTTCCAAGATCCCGGTGGATGCTTAAAACTGCAGATGGTACCAAACCCTATGTATACTATGATTTTTCCCTGCATGTACACGTCTTCTCTTAAGGAAGCACTGCGTGGCTTTTGCCAGCATCACTAACCCTTGCATTTTGGGGCCATTATTAAGTAAAGTAAGGGTTACTAACACAGTGCTGTGCTACTGCAGCAGCCTAATAGCTGAGACAGCTGAGTAACTAGTGGGTGGTATTGCGTGCAGCGTGGACGCTCTGGACTCAGGGCTGATCCCCTCCAGGGTGGGACAGGGCAGAATAGAGCCAGAGTTCATCTTGCTACTCAGAATGGCATGCGGTATAAAGTTATGAATTATTTATGAAATTTTCCAGGTAATAATTTTGGACCTCAGTTGACTGCAGGTAACTGAAACCGAAGAAAGCAAAGCTACAGATGGGGAGGGACTGCTGTGTTCTTTACATATGCTTCCTCACTTAATTTTAACACTGCCACAGAGGTCTGAGCAAAGGGCAGGAGAATGAGGTTCCTTCCATGGGAGAGGGCTGCTTTCCATGCTAAGAGTGCAGAAAAGGGAAGCTCTGTTTTCCAGAGAGATGTCCTTGGGGGTGGAGGGTGGTGCAGAGGGGTCACCTCCATGTCAGGGATAATGATGTCCCAAGAACAAAAGAAGGCCAGGTGGGATGAGGGCCCAGAGAGAGAGGACACAGGACCAGGTGTTAGGAGACCCCTGAAAATAGGCCCATGACACTTTCTGGGCTTGTTTCCTCATCAGCAAGAGGAGGGTAATAGCCTATATCCTCTCTACGGTTTTCCACAACTCCATGATGCCATATTCTAGAGAATCTTTTCCTGTTAAATTCATTTTGAGTTTATTTGTGGAATGAATGAGAGTGAATAAATGCACAAACGAAAGGGTGCCATCCAGTGACATCTCTAAAACATCTTATACCATTTTGCTGCCATCCCCACCAGGTACTCCTGGTTGCGAGGCGACCTGCTTGCCACCCTGAAGTCCCCTTAGGCTCAAGAGGCAAGGCTCCTGCGCTCTGCCCCCTCCCACCCACTGCCTGAAGGGCTCCAACTCCTAGCAGAGTCAGCAGCAATTCTTTTCAGTGGGGAGCCTTCCTTTTAAAACTGAGCATCTCCTGACCTTCTGGCGGGCTTCCTTATCTCTGAATGCCTGTCGCAGTAGGAATGATTCAGCACTCAAGGTAGACAAAGGCCGTCAAACTAAGTCCATGGGCAGGATGAACATGTAAAAATACACAAGCACAGGCCTCCAAGAACAACACTCAAGCCAGGCCCAGGAGACAGAGCACAGCACAGCCCAGGCCACACATCAACCCCAGGCCAGAATGTGCCCCTTAGAGGGCACGTCAAGCCCAGAATCAGAGATGGTCTTTCAGCCACTTTCTGGCTGTTCTTTACCTTATTCTAGGTTTCCCATTGTTATGTATGGATCAGGAGCTGTTACAACAGGGGGGTTTCTTTCCAAACTCACCAAAAGATAGATCTACTTCAAATGCTAGTCCCACCCCTAGAATTTTACTTATGTGTTTACATCACTACCCCCTGCCCAACTTCCAATGTCTTAGTCTTCTTTTTATACCCCCAAGTTTCTAGGCTGAGACTGAATGAACTGAGTGAGTGAACTGCATATATATATGCAGGTTCATATATATTTGTTCATTGTCTTCTATATTAGAAGAATTGTTCCTTTTGCCTTCTATAATAAAAGATCCAGAGACAGAGAAGTTAGTTAACTCGTTCAAAGTCATATAGCCAATTACTGGTTAGAGAACCAGAGTTAAAAACCAAACTGTCTTTGCCCCTTCACTAAATAGTATGGAAAAGGAGCTAACAGCCATGAAGCACTGACAGAATGCCAGGCACTCCCTGTGCAGTGTGTCACAAGGCTGTGAGAAGGGCATTATTATTTCCATTTTACAGATGAGAACATCAAGGCTCAGAGAGGTGTTCTCTGCCTAGATTGCTCCTCACGCTTCCTGCCCACTCTTCCCTCAGGATCCAGCTCAGAAGTCATTTCCTTCTGGAAGCTTTTCTTCCCTGACCCCCCACATTCAGCAGGTGCCCTCTTCTGCTGTCCCACAGCCCCATGTGCGTCTGTCCTATGTTGACATTCATGCACTGTGCCACCATGGATTACATGTGTGACACTTTGAGCCCTTCAAGGGCAGAGGCCAAGGGCTGAATCTTAAATTGAAATTTTAACTTCAGGCAAAAAGCCTGGCACACAGCAGCAGATTAGTAAATATTTGTGGAAGAAAGAAAAGAAGGCTCCCAAAGCCGCAGAATTGGAAAGTGAGGAAGCTGGGGTTTGAATCAAGCCTGGTCCCAGGGACTAGACTAGTTCCATGGACAATGACCTTCCCCTACAGTAGAGACCCTTTCATTATATTTTTGCAGATTTGTTTTAGAACTCAGCACATCCTCAGTCTCCAATTAGCTGTAAGTGTGAATCGATGGACTGTAAGCTTTCACAGGTCAGGACAGGGTGTGATTTTCTGGGGTGCTGTGCAGCCCCCAACACAGACACTGCAAATGATGGGCACTGCGTGCACACCTGTGGTTTGAGCTGATTTCAATCAGTCCATCCCACTGTGGTGATGACAGTGACTCAGGGCAGGGACGAGCCAGCCACTGGCTCTCATGACGGCACTCAAGGCCTGTGGATGGGAGAGCACGGAAACATCAAGGTCAAGTCTGTCTAAGTGTTTTAAGACAAAAGAGGGTAAGACAGGCGGTCTCCCTGGGAGTGGGAAGAACACTGTGGGGAGCTGGTTTACCGTGCTTCCTCTCAAGGAGTTTACAACAGGCATGGTATACATAATGCAGTGAAAACGAGTTATTCACCTAAAGACCAGGACACACTTTTTCTCTTTGAAAATTCCAGCTCTGTCCTCACCCGCCACTCCCACTCCAAGACTGACACAGCTTTCACAAATTTGCAGTTAGGGTTTCTCTCTGGGATTTCATTTTGATAAAGAGTTTTAATAACCTCTTAAGTCGAATGCCACATGTGACCTTTAGTGTCACTGTGCACCTCTGAAAGGCTCTGATCTGGGAGAACGACCACAGCCAAGGCAGAGTCGGGGAGTGAGGAAACTACCCGAGTAGGAATCAGGAGACTTGGTTTGAGACGCGCTCCTGCTCCAGCGTCTGCCTCCCTAGGGACTCTGGGTGCGACCCGACCTCAGGTTCCTTCTCTGTGAGGGGGGCATGGAAAGGCCTCTTGGCTGACTCCCTGGGCCATCCTGATGATCTACTGAGAACCTACTTCCTTGGGATATACTTAAAGGAGTAAAGGGCGCCTTGCCCTGGCCGGGTGGTTCAGTTGGTTGGAGCGTTGTCTCAAACACCAAACAGCTGTGGATTTGATTCCCGGTCAGGGCACACACCTAGGTTGCAGGTTCAACCCCCAGTTGGGGTAGGTACAGGAGGCAACTGATTGGTGTTTCTCTCTCACATTGATGTTTCTCTCTCTTTCTTTTTCTTTAAAACCAATAAACATATCCTCAGGTGAGGATTTAAAAAAAAGTAAAGGGCACCTATAAATGTAAGTAAGGTAGGGTAAGAGCACATGTATCTAAACTTCAAAGAGGAATGGGGCTTTATGTATAAATCTGTGATTGAGATAATGGAAACTTCCTTCTTGAATACAAGATTGTATTTGATTTAAACTCTAGGGACAGAGCTTGTGTTTCTACACTAGATGACTCCCTTTTTTAAGCAAGGCACACTGATGCAGGGTTATCTGTGACTGTCTTCAGGGCTGTGGAGGCTATAGACGTGTGTTATACTGATTTCCTCAAAACTGACTGGCCTCTACCTTCTATAATTCTGAGCTCCTGTGTTCTGAAAGTGTTTCTGTCTTTTGTCTACGGTAAACAGTCATTTCTTCCTGCTGTCAAGCTCGATGTCTTTCAGAATTCCCCTTATTTCTGCTTCAAAACTATGTTAGAGGAGAAAACATAAAAACCTTGTTTGTTAAAACTGGGTGCAGTCTGAGTTCTATGAGCAAACCAAAGGAGTTTTATACTTCTTTATAGTAATCTTCCTCAGGTCATGTGCCTCTCTACTCAAAAGCTTTTTAATGCTTCTCATTCCTACCAAAACAAGTCCAGACACCACAGGCGGGTGCTCTTTTCAAAGCCTTCAGTTATCTGCCCTCAGACCACGTTCGCAGTCTAGCTTCTCAGTGCGCTCCAGGTGTTTCCCGTACTCCGGGACCGAGTCCGCGGCCTCCTCTGGTGCCTTAAAACAACCCCCCGCCTTCAAGGCCCAGTTCAAGGCCTCCCTTCTTCCTGCAGACTCCCTCAGTTAAAAATAACCCCTCCCTATCCTTTGAACTCTCCTAACATTTTATCTTCATCACTCCCATGGCATTTATCACTTTCTGACTTAAAGAAATGACTTTTTTAGGACCACATCTAGATCTCTTTACTGTATCCTAAAACCACCTTGGAGAGGTTTCCTGTAAGCCCTGGCATTGCGTCTTGCTGACTGTATGCCTAAGTGAGTGGTGGCAAACACTCTCTGAGCTCTTGTTCTCTGAGCCACACTTCTCAGTGTTTCCCATCATGTTGCAGATTCTCTAGATTGCTGAGGCTGCTGCATTCATGAGCTCCTGTCAGGTTTACTGGGCGGGGAGCGGCTTTTCCTTAAGGTAATTGCTGAGCCGAGCCTCTGCCCTTCCCTGGCCTCAGTGGCACCTGGCCTGCTCTCCCCTGTGCCCTCCTGGCGGAGGGGCTGCCCCACACATCCCACCTGTATGCAGTGGCGGGCAGCCCGCGGGGCACTCACCGCTGCCGAGCCTTAGGAGCAGCACGTCCTGCAGCCTGCGGTTGAGGTCACGGAGCTCCTTCATCTCGGACACAAGCGCCCCGCACTCCTTGAGCTTCTTGGCCTGTTGCACTAGCTGCCTCCGCGTCCGCTCCAGCTCCTGCTGCAGGTGGCGCATCTCCTCCTGCTGCTGCTGGTAGGTGCGCAGCAGCTCCTCATACAGAGCCCGGGGCACAGCGGCCTCCTCCAGACTGTCCATGTCCTCTGTGCCCGGTGAGGCCGCCACAAAGACCTCTTCTGGACACGTGCTGTGGCCCAGGCTCAGGCCGTTCTGCTTCTCTAGTCGGGCCACCACGGCCTCGATGCTCTTGTGCGCCACTTCGCTCGGCTTCCGCCCCTCGGGTCTCTGTGTAGGACAACGAGAATCAATTCAGCAAGGGCAGCTGGGACTTTCCTTGGGCTGCGGCTCAATATTTCCCCAGACAATCCTAGAATCACAGAACCACAGAACATCAGTGCTTAGAGGAACCTGTGCGAACACTTAATCAAAGCCCTTCATTTTACAAATGGGGAAACAGAGGCACAGAGTAGGGACGGGTCCTGCCCAAAGTCACACAGTCAGGTGGTGGCAGAACCCGGACTCTGGTTTCCCAGGCCAGCACTTTTTCCATTCCACCACTCTGCCTCTTCCATGCCACTCACACTGTAACGGTCCTCCCCAACTCCCTGGCCACGGCCCCACCCCTAGTACCCAGACAGGGACTTCCTCACAGGGGGCACTCAACGTGTATTTGCGAAGAATAAGGGAGAAATCAGGGCAACCCAAGTCATCCTAAGGGAGTTAGCATGAAAATCTCTTCAACACAAACATAAAAGTGAGTAAAAAGGCTATGCTTTAGTTGGGAAGGATGCAAAGAACTCTCCTCCACTCTCATCTAGGGCGGCAACCCTGTCTTATTTTCTCTGTGTCTCCACTCCTACCCAGACTGGCACTTGGCAGGGGCTTGATAAATGTTAATGAAAAGTTCAAAGAATATGCTAGTGTTGAAAGGTTCTGCAGTTTAACTCCCTCATTTTATGGGCAAGAAAATCAGGGCTCAGGGAGGGGAAGGACTATATTCAGAGTCATGTGGTGAGCTACAGACAGAGCGAGACCCTGAGCTTGGAGGCTGACTTCCAACTCTAGGCTCCTTCTCCCATGTCTGTCAGCCTCTCCTTGGACACTGGCCAAGCTGAAGCTCGGCAAGACAGCGGATACAGAGAAGATAGTTCATTGAGAAGAGAAATTATCCAGGACTACCCAGGGGCTTTAGCAGCTGGAGGAAATTCCAGCTCCAGTGGACAAAGCTTCCATTGAGGGGGCATGGGAGTGATAGGACCAGTGGAATTCTTCACCCAGGGCAGGAGGGCCAGGGGCTCTCCTGACTGGGGGCACTTGTGGGAGGCACAGACTGCCGAGGACACAAGATTCCAAACAACTTAACTGTGTCAGTTCAAGCCTGCCTGAATTTCTCACTAAGTTTCTGTAAATTTAAAGAAGAAAAAAACATGACTCTGAAATTGAGTTCCATAACAAAATCCTATCCTGTCATTTTATTCACTGTGATAGGTGCTGCTAGTCTAGATGAACTCATCAGCTAAAATTGTAATGATCACTTTAGATATCTGTCCGCACCACAACACTGTGAGACCACCAAGGGCGTGACCATATCTGCCTAATCTCCATGACCACAAGGACTGGCGCAGGGCCAGACCCATAGAAAGGGTGCAATGGATGCATGGACTAATAAACTCAACTGGAATGTTTGGATTATACCTTGGGAATATTCTTGACCTTGTGTCCAAAGTCAGACCATGGTCAATGCAGAAGGCACCCTTCTTTTTCCTCCTTTCCTCTGTGGTACCCAATGCACACACACAAAAACCAGCCAACCAACCAACCCACCAAACTGGATAGACCAACTGGGGTGCCCACCAAAGGAAATGTAACCTCATGTAAAAGTTCTCTTCTAGCCCATAAGCCCTCTTCTGTGAACCTGGCTCACCCCTTTCCTAGGGATTCCACCCTTAGCTGTTTGGGGCAAGAGGACAGCGACTGGCTTAGAACTGCTGTCCAAGGACAGCTTGCTTAATCATCCTGGAGCTCAGCAGAGATCTCTCCAGGACTGTGGGCCAGACAGCAACACACTTTCCAAACCTTCAGGGGCCATGACTCTGGGTACACGGTGCAAACAGGACTGTGCTTGCGGCACAGCGTGAGCCAAGGCTCCCTGGAAGGTTGGCCAGCAAGCATGCTGGCTGTCCCAGCCCTCTCCTAACCTGTGACATCAGGGGACACTTATATGGTGAGAGGAGGCCAGGCTAGAATCCTTTAGCTACCAAAATCTGAAAGCGCTCCCACATACTTCCAACAAAAGGAAAGACTTTGTTACCTTGATGTGTCTAAGCTGTAAATCTTCTTCCCCATAATCTTTAACCTCCCCATCTTCTTCTACGTGATTGAGAGAAAGTTTGGGGATTTTTATTTTCTTCTGCATCACACTGTTTTCAAGGTCAGATTTGTCTTCTAAAATGTATATCAAGAGAACAAGGTTCATTATGACTCAAAATGCTAAAAGATGCCCATATCCTTAAAAGCTGGAGAATGACAGAGGCCAGACCAGTTAAAAAGGAAAAGCAAACCAACCTGGGGGGGCCTGTCCCCTCCTGCCTGTAGGGGCCCCACAGCAGCAGCGCACAGTGAACTCTAGGATCTGGAGTAGCTGCTAAAAGCACTGCCTTACAAAGCATTGAAATGGTGTCCAATGAATTCGCTTACAGGTTTCTCTAAGTGCCTCTTGAAGGGTGGCCTTTTATGGAATTCTAGAATCTGGGAACTAAAGTGGTCCTCAGATTGCTATCTGGTCTGAACTTAACTAGCACATGAATCTCTCAACAACAGAGATCTTTCTAAGCCAAGTGACTTCCCAGAAGAAGTTGGTGGGTTTCCACCAGTTCAGGTACCAAGAGCCATGAAGGGGATGACAGCTCCTATGGAGGTAAAGCCAGAGCTGGAAGGACAGGGACCTCCCAGCTAGAGGACAGGCTGAGGTAAGACAGATATAAAAAGAGCAACGAGTAACATTTACTGCCTTTTTACTGGTATCAGATCATAGGACAGAGTTTTATGGGCTCTAGCGACCGACTGGTCCAACTCTCTCATTCTGCAGAGGAGGGAACTCAGGCCCAGGAACGGGAAACAGGCCTCTGGGGTCTCGCCCAGGACTGTGTGCAGAGAGAGCACACCCCGAAGGGCGCTGCACACTGGGAAGTGCTGCACAACTCCAGGGGAGCACTTTTTCTCTCTACTTTCCCATATAACTTCACATAATCTAAAAGGATTTTTTTTCTCCTGCCCTGATTTCAAACCTGACTTTCCAAATCTGTCTCTCACAGCGCCTGTCAAAAGGAAAAGTTCAAACAGGAGAGTTCCACAGGTAAGACCTTGAAAATGCTCCAGAACTGGCCGCTTATGGTAAAAACACTGGTGTCTGTTTACTGGGACTGAACTGAGACTCTGAGAATTACTGTTCCTTACGTTCTTCCAAGGCTCCCACTGTAGTATCCTAAATGCTGCTGCCGGCATGTTGTCCAGTGCTGGAGGTGGCACATGGAGGTGGTTAAATCGAATCTCTGAGGGTCTTTATGTGTGAGTGTGTGTGCACACATATGTGATTGTGCTAAACATGCGCTTACACTTTCCCCGAGACAGGCTTCTCTCCTCACAACTTGTTAGTAAAGCTGAGAAGGAAGCTTATAAGCTCCTATCTATTCCAGAATACAGCCAAATGCCAAATCTTTCTAAATGGCCTTAGGAATGCAACCCCAGCTGATCAGAGATGGGACTCTGGTAGAAGAGGAACCTCGGTGTGACCCTCAGCTCTTCTGCGACAGAGTGAGGAAGGAAGGGCATGGCCTTAGTCTGACAGAGCTCAGGTGTCTCCTCTGTCATGGGTGGATCACAGCAATAATTCACAGAACTTACTGCACAGTGCCTGGTGCGCAGCAGGCGCCCAATGAATGGGATGTTGTAATTGCTATTATCAACATGCTAGGAATCTTTTAATTCCCTAAGCATAAGGTTAATAAAGATACAGTTTAAAAAACAAAGGAATGGCTTATGAAAGAAACAGAGTATAAGGGGCCTGCCCAAGAAAACAAAGAAGTGGTCTACGTTAACAACTTCCTCCTGATCAGAGACGAAAACAGCCCTTCCCACCGCCTGGGTGAGCCTGGGTTCTACTTTCACGGGCAAAGCCTGTTCTTGTTCTCTTTGTGTCCATAAAATATATCCAAGGGGTTAGACACGAACAACAACCCATTAGATAGATGGTCTTTCTAAAAGAGTAAGAGCTTCCTTACAACAGATCATTGTGACTCTTCCTAAGCCAAGAAGCTACTAAAATGTAAAACCTAAAGAAGGTACCGCAAATGAAGCTATCCTGAAATGGGTTGGGTAGATGTTTTCACAGATGAAAAAAAGATAAAGAGAGAGAGAGAGAAGAGATGAGAGGATGGTGTTAGGATTTCTGAATGTGTTCTTAGCCCAGGCAAAGCTCCTGGGCTAGTTTTCAGTTTGACAAGTTCAAGGGCAATTTTTGAGATGCAGCCACCAAACTGGAAATGATGAGCTGCGCTGTGTCCCTGAGCGGAAACTCTGTTGCTCAGGATCATGCTGATGCAGACAGAAGCAATCAGTCCAACTCACAAAACTAATCTCTAAACTGAGGACGGTCCTTGGAGTGTCCCATTTGACCCTTTCAAATGCAGATGAGGAAGCTGGGCTTCCAAATGGTGAAGTCCATGAATACGTCCACGCAGCAATCAGCCCAGAAATACAGGCGGAGCAGGACAGGCAGGGTTCCCATCTTGAGGAGCTCAGCACTGGGCATGGTCATAGTGCACATGAACAGTGTGACCACGAACCAGGACCCTATAACCAGGGTCTGGAGCTCTTCCTCCTATGCCTAAGCTTAACACTTACTGAAGATTTACACTTGCAGGATCTAGCTTGGTGCCTGGGGACACGGAGAGTAAGCATCCAGATGGGGGACACAGGATAAAAAGCCATGGAAGAGATAATCTAGGATCTCAAATACTGAGCAGGAACAAGGGGACAGTAACTACTATAGGCCCTTGGGGGCAAGGGAGGAGGTCACTTCTGTCAGTGCAACCACGGCAGGCTTTTGAGAAGAGGCAGCCTTTCAGGCAGCCTCCTCACTTGCTGGGTGATCGTGGGTAAGTTACATTACTTCTCTGAGCCTGTTTCCTCATCTGTGACTTGATGCAAATCCTTTCTATTCATAGTGCCAGAATGCTGGGAAGATGATCAAATCTCTATGTTAAGGACTTGAGCGGAGTGAATGGCGCTTGGACAGTCAGTGCTCACTAAAGAACAGCCATTAAAGACAGTGAGTATCTGGACCACACAGCAGGGGCAGAGAACTAAAGCCAAAAAGGGGAAAGTTGGGAAGACACTTCAACTGGAATGGTTACAAAAGATGGTTCCGTTATAAGCAGGAAAGAGAGGTGAGGAAGGAAGTCGGAGTGTATAGAAAAAGGCCTTGAAGGCCAAGATAGGAAGAGCTGAGGTTCGACCGGCAGGTATGGAAAAACTAGGAGCCAGGCAGCCTGGATTCCAAGCCCAGGTCTGCCACTAGGTGGGAGAGAAGTCAGGCAAGCTGCGGGGGCAGTGAGTGTCATTTCTCCTTTTCTTGGAAAAGGAGATACATTTGCCTCAAGTGAAGATCAAACCAGCTGAGTTAATGCGCATTGAAAACACGAGAGCCTGTGCAGACAAGCCGAGGGTGGATAACGAAGCTCAGCAGGGCCTGCTGCATGAAACTTGCTTCTTGAGGGGGTGACCTGCCCAGCGTCCTGGTTCGGGAAAGGCACCACTCGGGCAGGGCAGCACTCCCCACCTGATCACAGGAGGCCCCCCTCCTACCGGCTGTACCCAAGGCTGCCTGCTCTTCCACCTAACTGGAAAGCCTCCCTCCTTCCTTGTGTGCTTGACAAACTCCACTCTTCTCCTTCCTCCTCAAAGGTCCCACTGCACATTATACAGCAGGTCCTTCACTAATGTCATTTCATACAAGTTTCCTTATAACGTTGATGAGATGCCATAAGAACTTAACTCTTGTTTATATCAATTAGTCCCTGGTAAAATTGGTTTTGTTATATACTATTTCACCACAGTTCCAAGACCCTGTCAAGGATATTAAGTGAGGACTTACTATAAGTATCTTCTCTGTAGCCTTTTTTTTTTTAATTATGTTGCAACTATCTGCTTTGGTGTGTACCTTCCCCAATGGTGGTGTCTGCTAGGTAGCAGACATTTCACCAGTAGTAGCCTATTGTTTAATTAAAATATGATTCATGTAATATAAAATCCACCATTTTAAAGAACGTACAATCCATCGGTTCTTAGCGTATTCACACCATTCTGCAGCCATCTTCACTGTGTAATCCAGAACTGTCAACTGCTTCCCACAGTGGCTGCCCTGTTTTACAGTCCGCAATGGATTGTGAGTAACCTCAGGGCAAGGCCCATATCAGAGGCTTGGCCATACAAGAGGGACTCATCAAACAAAAATATTAGGGAACAATAATAAAAAAGAGGCTGCACCAATACTCATAAAAAGATGTTCAAATCATCAGGCATCAAGGAAATGCAAATCAAAAGTGAAATGAGATACCCCTTTCACACTCACCTTGGATGGCTACAATCAGAAAAGTGAAAAGAAAGGAAGAGAAAAAATGACAAGTGTTGGGGACATGAGAAGAAATTGGAACTCTCACATATTCCTGGTGGGACTGTAAAACAGGGCAGCCACTGTGGGAAGCAGTTGACAGTTCTGGATTACACAGTGAAGATGGCTGCAGAATGGTGTGAATACACTAAGAACCGATGGATTGTACGTTCTTTAAAATGGTGGATTTTATATTACATGAATCATATTTTAATTAAACAATAGGCTACCACTGGTGAAATGTCTGCTACCTAGCAGACACCACCATAAGGCTCTTCACATGTTATTACACCTCACACCAACCCTGCCATTAAGTATTACTAGCCAGAGTTTTTTGCTGTTTTGTTTTTTTTTTTCCATAAGGCCTTTCAGCCACCCCGATGGAAAGGTACAGAGTCACGATTTGCTCTAGGTCTCTCTGCCTTCCCAGCCTAAGCTCTACTCTCTCTAAACACATGCCTGGAACATAGTCGAGTCAGCAAAAATGCTGAATGAATGAATGGAGGCTATAGATAAGGACATCCAAACCCCCAGACTAAAGTTCAAAGCAGAAGAGCACTCTACCCTAGCATTCCTGCCAGGCACGGCTGCCCCGGGGAAGCAGCCACACAGCAGTAACCACCCCCAGGCACAACAGAAACGGACTATAGCCAGGTCCTGGGGCTTGAATGGATCCTTGAAAAGGTAGGCTGCGTTGTACAGAAAGTCTCAAGTGACAGGAGTAAGATCCAGAAAGGAGCAGAAGCAGATGGTACCTCTCATCACACACCTCCTG